CAATTTTGAAGTCAACGTGTGTTAAGTGAGGGTTGGCTCGCTTCCGCTGGGAGCTTGGCGTCTTCTTTTTTCCTCTGCTTCCCGCTCTCGTCGGAACTGGGGTATTCGGTAATAGGATCGTGAGCAAGTTCGGCAGCTTTCTTCATACCTTGTGGAGTGTCATCATTCTGACTATTCGCAGGTGATACTTTGGTCGACGTGGTTCGTGGAACAGGTGGACGGGAGATGACGTATTTGGTTGCATTGGAACTGGGATTGGTTTGCGAATAATATTGGGAGGTCCAGTATTGAGGATTTGAAAGTGAGGGCACGGGGGATTTATACGGTAAGCTACTGTAGGAGACTTACCACCGTTCTCCTGCTGGTGCTTTTCAGAAGAGTCCCAAGAAGGCCTCAAAGTTCATGCCGGGGGGTAGTTCAAAACCAGGGGAAGGGCCAGTGTGGAGCTTGAAGCGAACTGGTGGAGTAGAGGTGGGGGCGGGGGATGGTGTGGTGCGTAGTGGCTTGTAATAATGTTGCGACGGGCACAGTGATGGCCCGCATGCGACCGAAGTCCGATGCATCCAAGGTTGTTTCGGTGAAACAACGGACGTAAGACGTGAAGCCGGAGATTGACCACGAGGCCAAATAGAGTACACATGGCCCTTGTCGTCCTTGAGGAATTCGGATACAGTGCGGTATTCGCCTTGATCGATCCAAGAATCCGTCACAAGGTGAGTCATGATGTCGGAGTGGGTTGGCAGCCAAAACCTAAACCCTAAATATAAGCCACATGATTCATTCGATTCTATTCACCATTATCCTGTATTAGTAGACAAGTTAAACTAGTACTGGAAACGGAGACGACCCAGGGGGCATATGAATCAGATTTCTGCCGTTCGCCCCTTTTCCGGTTCGAAGTGGCTTATTGTCATTGTTGTTGTTGTTGCCCACCGTCGAACTGCACTTATAAGACGTACATAAAAGTAAGAATAATCAACAATGAAGACGTCTCTGCTCCTCTCGTTGTTGCAATATTCCACCGTCCACGCCTTGGCATCGTCGGGAGCAACCTCTGCACCAAATGCTGTCAAGCCACTCTTATTCTCATCGCATTCCCAGAGGCAAACCCCCAATACTGTGACTCTGACATATCTGGAGATTAATAGCTGGCTGCTTTCGGCCAATGGTGTTACGATTCTGGTCGATCCTCTCTTGGAAGGACCTCTCGATTTTGGAATTCCCAGTCTGTACCAAGGAAAGAAGCGTGTCATCCCACCATCTGGGCTCACAGACGCACTTCCACCCATTGACGGCATTTTGATTACCCAAGGACTGGACGACCATGCCCATGTGCGCACTCTGCAAAAAATTCACTCGTTGGACCCCACCGTGCCGATTTTAGCACCTCCATCGGCCAAGGGGGCATTGAAAGCGGCCGGGTTCCTCTCCACAGATTCTTCTTCCCAAGTTCAATTTCTCTATCATGGAGATGAAGCAGTCATCCAGTCTCGAAGCAGCAAAGACAATACGTCAACACTGGGTGTAGTGGCCACCAAAGGAGCCCGGGTAGGACCACCATGGCAGCGACGAGAGAATGGATACATTCTGAGAAGTGAGTCGTCCACACAATCTACTACTGGCAAGTCCAGCGGTCCGTCCATTTACATAGAGCCCCATGTGGAATTCAAAGAGCGAGAGCTGTCGAGGTTTGCCCCGGTTGACGTAGTCATTTCACCAATCAGTGGTCAGGGTCTGCCGGCATTTGAATTGGTCCATGGACCCAGTGATACCATTCGTCTGCTGGAGACACTGAGACCAAAGTACCTGGTTCCCATGCAGAATGGCGATATTGATATCGAAGGTCCGGTAGGAAGCCTCGTTTCGGAAGTGGGCTCTCCCGATGAGTTCCAACAGCGCTTGGCCAAGTCCAAACTCAACGATAATATGGAGCTGGTAGACGTCAAGCCCGGCGAGGACATTGTGCTTTCTTTCTAGAAAATTGGCCTGAACCAAAAGCAATCCACCGCTGAGACCCATAGAAACAAACAATTTGAGGATGGTACTGTACTGTAGGTCTGGTGTACCAAGAGGAGCAGAAGAGAGTCTTGCAGATGAAGAAGGGCGTCTTGCAAATTCCGCTTCGAATCTACCTTTGTTCATGCTAGAGGCTGCCAATGGACTCGACTCAGCGGTGGAAAGGAAACGACACGAGCGATAGACCTATCCTAGCGAGAAAATAGATAGATTATGTACGCGTCAGAACCAGGAAGAATTGTCGGGGGTGTGGGCTCTAGCTAGAGTAGCTCAGTCGCTTATTCGTTTCCTCGTAACTATTGCTATCTTCATTGTAGCCCAAAGACTACATGTCAGCCGCAGAGTACCGATAGGCTTGTTCCTTTTCGTGTTGCTTTGCAAACTTCTGCGCTAGAAGCTTTCGTTCAAAGTTATTTCCTCGATGATGTCCATCCCATCGATATCCCGGTGGAATGCCGTAGCGATTGGGTGGTGCCGGTGGTCCCTTGTAGGTTGGTTTGCCCGAGCCTGATGATGATGCCGTGCCCTTGCTCTTGCCGCCATTGTTGCTTGTATTATTGTACTGTGCCATGGGATCTCCCTTTCGAATTTCATTCTTTTGAGAAGCTTCTAGATCCACATCATCGGCCGTTCGTGCAAAAGAGGATTGTGCCAATTTTTGACGCTCTTGATAGGCTTCTTCATGGGCTTGTCGTTGGGCACTGCCCTGATTGAGTAAATAGCGTTGTTGCTTCGCCCGCAATGCCACCGCTTCAGCGCTTTCACTTTCCTCTTGTGGCTTTCGTTTCCCATCCGCATCTCGAAAGACGGTTTCTCCCATGCCGTGTTCTTGTACCATTTGGTCGACATCTTGTTTTCGTTGGGCTTGTATTTCAGCTTCGGCTTTTGAGAATTGTTTTCCTTTTTGCAACCCTGCCTTGTGACCAGACGACATTTTCGCTTGTCGTCCTTTGGAATCGACACTGCCGTCACTGTCACTATCATTTCTCTGTCTTCTGGATCTCCTCTTGGACGATGATGCTCGGCTGCTGTCGTCACCATCACTGTCATATCGTTTTCGTCTCTTGCTTTTACGGCTCTTTTCTTGTGAATTGTCACTTGGTTGATCACCATCATCATCACTGTCATATCGTTGTTTCCTTTTGCTGTTGTTGCTCTTCTTTTGTGAATCATCGTCACTGCTGTCATATCTTTTTTGTCGACTATCGCTCCTTTGTCTACGATTATCATCATTTTCGTCGTCACTGCTGTCATATCGATTCCGTCTCCCATTGCTCTTGGATGATTCTTTCTGGTCGTCACTGTGGCTGCCACTTTGCTTCTTGCTGTCTTCGCTGTCAGAATCATATCTTTGGTGTCTCCTGCCTTTTGGAGACTCATCAGTATCGTTTTTGGCTGATCCGCTCCTCCTGTCTTCCTTGTCTGAGTCACTACCACTGTCATAGCGTTGTCGTCTTCTGTTATCCCCACCCTCCGAATTACTGTCATCCGAGTCATGACGCTCTCTCATGGGGCGGCCATCATCATCTTTCTGCTTGTCATCTTCTTCATCGTCCCACTTGCCCCTCCGAGATTGTGCTGTAGCAGCCGCTTCCTCTTCCATTTCGGGTGCATTCACCACCAGAGGACCATCGTCTTCTTCGTCATCTTCGTAATCTACATTTCTCTTTAGCACAGAGTCTTCCTCGTCGCTGTCGTGGACACGCATCCGCACTTTTCCTTTGTCCTTTTTCTTCTTCTTCTTTTTGCTTTCCTTTTTTCTCTTCTTTTTGGAAGAGCCATCATTGTCGTCGTCGTCGTCATGGTCCAAGTACTTGGATAGATAGGCACTCTTGCTGCTGCTCTTGGCCATGGTCAGCTATATTGATTGTATCTTGATGGTTTGTGTTGCTGTCAAATAAATGTGTGCAGTCTCGATTTGCCTCGAATTGACTCGAATTGACTTCGAATAAATCTATTCGAATTGAATCCATCATATTCGATTTTGAGATTTAAGGTGGGAAAAATTGGAATAAATCATTAATGCTCCAAGAAGTCATTAATGCTTCCTTGACAGCTGCAAGCTGCAGACGTGTCGACGAAAGCAAAAGCCAAAAGCGTCCCCAACAGACAACACAAACAGTGCCGTATCCAACAAACAGCAAGACCTTGTCGCTGTGATTGCAATCTTGCAACGCGAAGTCCATCACAGCCACCTTTGACCAGAGAGAGATAGACTTGTTGCCAAGATCTGTTGATACGTTCCTTTGAGACTGCTTGGGTTGCTTGCTAGCTAGTCCGCTACAAAGATCAGTCTCGCCTACCATAACATACTGGAAATTTTCACGGTCATCGTTTCTCTTTCCTTGAGTTTTCCTGCAAAACCGATTTTTGATTGATTTTTCTGTTTGACAATGGCCGACCAAATGCAGTTCCAACGTCCGCATCCAGCACACTTACCACAAAACAACAGCAACAACAATACTAACAGGCCGCAACACCCTACCAGATATAACAATAACAACAACAACAACAGGACGCGTCGCAAGGGCAAGTATCAAAATGGGCCGAGACAACAACACCATCGCAGTCAGAGTCCGCCTACAGGACCCCCCACTTCGCTGGAGACGACGCTGCGCGAATTGGCTTGTTACGATGACGCCAATGAATCGCGTCGAAGAAATGCCCTGGATGTCCTAGAAAAGATTCTCTATCAATGGTCGATTGACTTGCTACGAGCAGACAATCACAACAATCCATGGCAACGTCCTCGTGTCGCGGTGATTACCTTTGGCAGTTACCGACTAGGCGTCCATCGTCCGAGCTCGGATCTAGATGTCTTGGCATTGTCGCCGCCCCATTGTACGCGTGCCGATTTCTTTCTGTCGCTGGTCGATCGATTGGACCACGATCAGCGCGTGACCGATCTACATCCCATTCCGACTGCCTACACTCCCGTCATCAAATTTGTACTGCAAGGGATTCAAATCGATCTCTTGTTTGCTAGAGTTGAGAATGCCAACAAACTCTTTCAGTATCAGCAAAGTCAACCGTCGCTGCTGTTGCGAGATGACGAGGAACCCATTCCGAGAAATCCTCGGATCGAGTATTCCATCGACAACTCCGATTTGGTCGGTCAAGACGAAGCGGGCGTTCGATCCATCAATGGATCTCGTGTCTCGCAATGCATGCTCTCGTTGGTCCCCGACGTCAATACGTTTCGATTGACGCTGCGAGCCGTCAAGGCGTGGGCCGACATTCACGGAGTACAGTCCAATGTCTTGGGGTTTTTGGGCGGAATCAATTGGGCCATTCTCGTGGCGCGGGTCGCCATGGACAATCCCGAAGCCGATGCTCCCCAACTGCTGCTCCTATTCTTCAAGACGTATTCGCAATGGAAATGGCCCGAGCCAGTCACATTGGGAGAAATATGCACCGAGCCACCCCCGGGGGTCATGCCCATGGCGGCATGGAATCCACAAGTCAATCCAAGGGATGGATTGCATCTCATGCCCATTATTACACCGGTATTTCCCAGTATGAACTCGTCCTACAATATTGGAATTCCACAACTCCGTCGGATTCAAGACGAAATGATCCGAGCAGCGTATGCCTTGGAACATGCGAGATCGCCAGGAGATTGCACGGCGCTCTTTCGCGATGGAGGATTCTTTCGACGCCACAGTAACTATTTGCAAGTCAACATTCGAGCACGCAATGCCGAAGACTTTTTGCATTGGTTCCGACTCTGCGAATCCAAAATGCGGCTCTTGATTGCCTGTCTCGAAACCCCGGAAGTACATGCATGGCCCTTTGCCAAATTCTTTGACCGAAGGTTCGGGACGACACACGAATCGTACTTTTTCATTGCCCTGCGATTTGCGGAAGGAGTCGAGACGGTCGACTTGCGGTACTCTACATCCGAGTTTTTACACAAAATCAACTCGTGGGAAGGACGCAAAGAGGGCATGGACTTGTCCATTGCGCGGGTTTCCGCCAACGACTTGCCTTCCTTTGTCTTGGGGCGCGCTACTCATAACAAAAAATCCAACAATCACAACAGCAACAACAACAGCAGCAGCAGCAACCATCATAATAACCACCACCACAACAACAACAACAATCACAACTACCATCAGCAGAGGAACAAGCCAACGATCAATGTCGGATTGTGTCCTCGAATGGTCCCGGAAGGAGGCCCGATGTCGCCTACCAAACGGGCCAAGCTGAACTAGCTAGCCAACCCAACCTGCAAATGCAAATAGAAAATACCATAAAAAGACTGGGCGCAATGCTGTTGGCATTTGCATTGTGCATTTTTCATACCTTCTAAAATAACAAGTACTAACTAAAAGGGGTTTTGTGGGCAGCACGTTTACATGCACCTGGTCTCCTCTAGCTGTAGCCGGTTCCCGATAGCCTTCACTGAGCCGACAATTTCCCCCCCTTCAAAATGTAAAGTACTAACTAAAAGGGGTTTTGTTGGGTAGTTCTGGCTGGGTCTCCTCTGTATTCTTCAGGAGGGCCGTACTACCGTAGCCGCTTCCCGATATCATCTTTCTCCACTTCCAGTAGTAGGAGAGGTTGCACCCGAAGCGTCCATTTCTGAAGCTGGTTCTAGTAGGATGTCGCTGACTTCGCCACGGATAGTGTCGATCTCAGCTTTCCAGCGTTCTACAAAATCTTTGATCCATGTGTGAAAGATCACAAGCAGCTTGTCGCTGGGCTCATTGTAAGAGACACCGGCCATGGCTGTTTGCACGTTGGCTTGCAGTGCAGTCAATTCCTTGTCGTGCAAGTTTTGCATGAGACGTTCTGCCTTGTGGACAAGACCCCTCACTCTGTTTTTGGCTCTGCTTTCCTCCCGATCCTGAGTGGCAAGATGCCAACGTCGAATGGCTGCAAGGGGGACATCGCGACACAGCAACGTGAGCAAGTTTGGTAGCGGATGACCCGCTTTGCATGCCAGCCAGAATGGATCTTGCTTGAGTTCTGGAGCATCACTCGACGTCGAGTGATGCTTGTCAAGGTATCGAAGGAGAGAAGGGGGGGTCGCTCCGATATTGCAGGCCTGTTCCAGCGGCAGCGATCCCTTACAATTGCGGATAGCCAACGCCTGGGGAAATTGTTCAACCAAGTACTTGAAGGCTGGAAAAATCATTGTTTTTTTAGGGTCGAAGCGGAACATCTCAATGGCCACATGAAGTGGCAGAGCTCGGCTGAACATCAGTCCAGAGACCAACGAATGGGACGATGGCACGGAGACTGAACACGTTGTTTGAAGGGCGCTGGGATCGCTAGTCGCAATGTATTTCAGTACATTCACTGGAAGGGGTTCGCGGCAAACAAAGTGAAGCAGCAGCGTGCCCTCAATTCTGATGTTGTCGCAAGGCTGGGATTGAATGAAAGTCTTGACCTTGTACTTTTTGTCGGACCAATAGTGACGGCGACAGAGTGTGTATGGCACGAAGCGTCCCCACTTCGGGTCATCTATGTTGGAAACAAGACAAACCTTATCACCTGGAACGGGGACGTGTCTCTTTACAACCTCCAAGAAGTGTGGGTCCTGCACGCCAGTGCCTTGTCCAGGGCGGTAGTTAATCAGCGAGTTCCGCAACCATATGACATCGACATCCGACGCCGTCATTCCTTGTGATTCATGACGGGTTTTCTCCATGATGATAGGCATTCAGTATGTGATCGGTTTACTATTAATACTAAGGTTGTTGGCTCTCCCATTCAGTTGATTGACAGCAAACTTTGAATTCAATCCTTCAGTCAGCTTCAAAAGCACCTTAATTAAGTAGTTTCCGCGTGGAGGCTCAACCGTGGAAACTCCTTGTACCAGTACACGGTGCCGTACCGGCACCGTGGAAGATGCAATCGAAAACTTCCAGTAGGCACGAACTGCCTGGTCCTTATATTTGTCCCCATTTAACAAGAGCATCAGGGTAGTACCAACCACTGAGACCAACGAGGTTCCAACAGTGTGTTTTACATTGGCGACCATGTCCGAAAATGCTTCTGCTATCAACACTCAACAGCAATCATCTAGCTGCAAGACTCCTGATGAGATGCTGGCAAAGTTCTTGACTGTGGACAGTCTCAATGATATCATCCTCAAGGGCAATGATGGAGTGGAGGTTCCAGCCAACCGCTTTTTGCTGGCAGCCAGATCTGATGTCTTCATGGGTATGCTGCTGGGAAAGTTCCAGGAATCATCATCAGCTGTAATTGAGCTTGGATTTCCAGGAAATGTCCTCAAGGGGGTGGTAGAGTTTGTGCTCACAAATACAGCACAAGTTCTTCATGTCAAAACAGATGCAGAAGATATAAGTCCCCAAAAGATTCGATCATTGGTGTCATTGGCAGAGGCAGCTTCCTATTTTGACCTTGCTGGCCTTGGAGAAATGGTCTTTGAATCTTTTGAAAAGCATAACAAGGCAGACCCATGCGCATCATTTGCAATCTTGCAAGCATGCAGAATATCTGGCAACTCAATTCCAAAGATGCTGGTTGAAAAGGCAAAAGAGTGGGTACAAACAACCCAAACTAAATCTGTATCTGCCAACCATGTGGCTGGTTTGAGCACAAATGTCATGGAAGAAATACTGTTGGATCCAGACATGCTCATGACGGAATTCGAATTGTTTCAGATCTTATCCCTTTGGGTAGAAAGCAACCCCAGTCAGAGAAAGGAAGCAGCAGCTGGCCTCTCCAAGTGTATCTCCTTTGAAAAGATAAGCATTGAAAATTTGACAACAACAGTGGCATCATCGGGGTTTGCTTCATCAGAACAACTCCATGAAGCGTACAAAAGCCGGGCTGTTGCACTACAGAATCTGCTGTCACCAGGAACCCATGCAAAGCCAAGAAGGGAACCCTGGGTTTCCCAGAAACCTGACCATTCTGCTGAAGCTCCAATTGCAATCAAGGTGCAAGGTGCTGGGACAGAAGAAGTGAATGGGGTTTACACACAAGATGGAACATTCAAGAACAGTGTTGGAGGAAACATACCTGACACCTCTTTACTATTGACTCGTGTATTAATCATCTAGTCCGGTTCGCATGCAAATTCATCATGCAAGGAACCGAGGGAGTTTTAGGTCTAAAGTGTTACGGGGGTCCTTATATCCAATTCAATCACAAGAATTGCTATGCACCACCAGAAAATCCTCACTTTTGCTTTTCCACCTGCCCATCAGGGGCGGGACTCCATCGACTGGGGAGCATTCGCTACCGATTTCCTTGGAGGCATCCCGCTTTATGCAGAGGAGTGGAGGCATGATGAGACATCATCCGAAGAAAGCTATCACTCCGGCTACGGCCATGATCAGCTTGCTGAGGGAGGTCCTGACGGTGTAAGCATCGGATCCGACCTTATCCTCCAGCGGTACAATGATACACATAATATAATTGTCAGTCGTTCTGCCCACCCTGACACCGTCTTCAACACAGATCCCTTCGAAGGAGTCATCCCTCGGAATGGCCAAGACGATGATCAGAGCTGCTGTTCCGACTACAGCTCGGATACAGAGAATGAATTTCGCTGCTTGTACCGTGGACCCAGCCGGCGTCAGCGGGAGAATCAGCGAGGCAACTGTTATGAAGATTTCCAAGACCAAGACTCACTATCAGTCGAAGAACAGAACCATCAAGTTGCGTTTGAGTTCCCAGGAGTGGCAGATGCCGAACTCACAGGAGTGGCAGAGCCAAATCTTGCAGGAGTGTCGGTCAAGAACCTCATTATTCCCTGTGGGAAGCCGCATCCTCTCTCTTTTC